ATGGTGTCTAAAAGTGACCGTGTGTGTGCCTTACAATGGGCTGGCACCAAATCTGGGGCGTAGACCCTGTGCCCTGTGTTTCTGGAATAACCCTAACAAGGACAAAGTGTTTTTCTGATACTGGAGGAGTGGATATTTGAAGGAATGGTTCAGAAATAGGCAGGCAGTGTAGATTTGCTAGAGAACTGTGCTCACAAAGAAAAGTATGTCCTGAATGAAACTGGATTTATGTGTACATGAGTCCTATAGCCACAGTAAAGATATGCATCCAATTCTCTGGCTTTGCTTTATCCATGCCTAAAAGAATAAATATTTTCATACAATCAATTGTAATGATCAGTTATGTTAAGACATGTAAAGTGTAAATGACAGCAGTACCTTTAGTATTCCCTTTCACAATGAACATTTCTTTGTTGTTCGAGATTCTGCTTTATTATGTATTATTTGATCAAATTTTGCAGGCAAGCTGGCATGCTTTGGAAGACAAATGCAAATTAATCCAGCATTTTACATTGTATGCATTCTGTCTACAGACAACAGAAGGCTTACATTGCCACACAGGGACCCCTGGCAGAAACCACAGAAGATTTCTGGAGGATGCTATGGGAGAACAACTCAACCATCGTGGTCATGCTTACCAAACTGAGAGAAATGGGAAGGGTACGTCACTGTTCCTTGCTAATCTAAACACCTTCTTCCTTATGGTAAATAAGATAAAGCTGGCAGGCTTTTGGCATTACAGTGTCTGTCTTCTGAACCAAGCACAGCCTTTGACGTTCATCTCCTTGAGTTCAAAAGACAGCAGGGTAATCTTTTTATTAGATGCTTGTTTCATGAATGTTCCTTCAGATTGTTGGATTGAATATTTGAAGTCCAGGATGAGCTTTCTTGTGCAGTAGTGATGTATTATTAAGAGATACTTGTGCCTCAAAACCGCATGAGAATTTTATGTGAACCTTTGAAGAGTCTGAAAGAGAGGAACAAGGGCTATCAGATACCTAATTATCTAGCGTAGTTGAGTACAGCATTGGCTGGGTGCTTTAGAGCAGGAGCTGAAAGATTTCCATGCTTGGTCGTGCCTCATATCAGTTCTACCCTTAACTTTTATTCATGACTTCCTAGCCTCATAGTAACTGGGGAACATTGGGATGTATAGTATGGTCTTAGATTTGCATTATTGTTATCTTCCATAAGGCCAGCTGGAAAACAGTCCAAGGAAAAGAGTACTTGACAGAACTTGAAAAATAAAGGAGCATTGAAGACTGTGAAGCTGTTACACTCTTAATGCTGCACTACAATCCAAGCTGTCTTATTAAAAGTACAGTAAATGCCCTTTGTGTACATAAATACCATATAAATAGAATACATAACTTTATTTTCTCAGCGATGCCATTTTCTTTGGGAAAAGCTTAGTGTGGTAGAGCATCATTTGGGCATCGCTTCTACTAGGCATTTTACATTCGACAGATGATGGAGTATTACAAAAGCTGAGAAAACGTTAAGCAGTGACATATTAGATACCATTATCTAATATGCATCTGATGAACTTTGTTACATAGTGAATTAAAAAAGAAACACATTTTGTAACCACAAAGCGTGACACGCTTGACTAGAGCATGTAGCAGAACAAAACATTCTTACATTTCCTTTCCATTGTCGATGATTTCCCAACCCTAAGTATCTTAATTCGCTATTGAACGGCTATTTGATTCTCCATCCAGCCGGAAATCTTTGAGACGGGGCAAGATTTTACCATTATGCTTATATGATGTTTGTCTTTTGAAATTTCTGTGTTGAGTACAGTAACTTAATTACCTTGCAGAGATGATTAATAATTTTAGCAAAAAAGGTTACAAAATTTACTTTCATTTGGAAATGCACATTTTTATTAGTTTTTGTACATTTACTTAAATGAAAAAAATGAATTAGATATTGTTAAAACATTATTTTACAAACTAGTTTGCTGTTATTCTCCAGAACAAATCTAACATTATTCAGTTGGTCTAATCAATGTTCAGGAAAAGTGGAGACTTGGATTAGTATTACCAGTTTATTTACTTCTGAAGAGTCTAAAGATGCAGAAGGGGTGTAACGCTAAATTAGTACAATACTTTATATTTCTGTTCATTTAAGAGTTTTAAAATCCCACCCTGTCTCTAATAGGCAGTCCGGTCACTGCAGTCCGTGCTGTAATCTACACTGGCAGCCTGGACAGCTTGCCAGCAGTGTGGCATAGTGTGAGGTTCTGCAATCTGCTCCATTGTTTTACACTTCATGTTTTTGCACATCTTTGTGTGTTAATTGAAAAAGAAAAAATATATTAAGGTTTGTAATCAACTTTATTACATTTCACAAATGTAGGACATACAGGTGGGTTTTTGAAAGATCAAGTCAAACATTGATATAATATAGGAACAAGTAATAGGTTTATTCCATGCTGAAAAAAAGAAGAAAGAGAACACAACGTTTCGGCCGTGGAGCCTTCTTCAGGTGTGGGCGCTTCATGCACACCTGAAGAAGGCTCCACGGCCGAAACGTTGTGTTCTCTTTCTTCTTTTTTTCAGCATGGAATAAACCTATTACTTGTTCCTTTGCAGCCTACGCATGCTGACGCAGCTACCCACCATTGATATAATATAATTGATATTATGATGATGTAAGAACAGTGGCCATTGTGATGAAATGAAAGAGGGTGTGGAGGCCTTGCTATCCCCACATCCCCCCAGGGAGGTGACTGAAATAGAACATCATGGTCGTGGTAGGTCAGTTGGCAGCACAGGTGGAAATGCTTAGTCCCCCACTCCTGGTGACTGATATCTCATTGGTTGTTGGATACTTGTCAAAATGAAAGGGAACTAGTTTATCACAAGGAAAGTTAGAGATGAGGTGTTGTCCAGCTCTTCTTAGCTGTAGCACGCATGTGAAGGGCCTAGCACAGTATGCCTCCTTGTTATCCTAGGAGAGGACAGGAGGTTGTATTGTTAGGTCAAACATAGGGTTAGGTTCTCCAGATCAAGGATGATACGTAACGGAGACTGTTACTGGCCAGCAGGGTGTTTATAGTCTATATTATATACATGCCTATGCCCACAAGTCCTATAATATGTAAATGCAATGGAATAGCACTCGGCTTTTTAAATGGGAGGATGCAAATTCAAAATCTGATAGGTGGGGAAATTATCAAATTCAGAGCAAATTCAAATTTTTTGGCAACATCTTCTAAAGCGAATCCAGATAGAAATGGTTCTAGTCATCTTGTGCTGAGGATGGCTAATATAAACAATGAGGCAAAAAGAAATATGGGAAGAAAGGTGAAGAGTAGGGTCATTCTATCACAAAACAGATGTTAGACAGGATTCCATCTCCTTGGATCAAAGTTTGCCTATGAAACTGGAGTTGAGATGAAAAGCGCTCTAGATTATGGTTTTCACACACTTCAGAGTCGTCAGAACTCTGTAATTTCCATTCTAGAAAGCAACAGAGGGCAATTTTTATAAAAGGCTGAAATAATTTCTCCCATCACATTCTGCCGAAGCAGAAAAATGGAGAAAGGAGCTGAGGTGCCGTTCTCCACGCGTCTGTTGTTGCCATGGCAGCTGTAAGAAGAATGAGTGCTTAATCTCTGCTTTTAAGAGAATGGCGCCAGAGACCTGCAAGGCAGTTGGAACTTCATCTGTTGAGTTCCTCCTTTGTAGTGGACAGGGTGTAATTTTGTTGCCCATGTGTATTGCACCAAGCTGCAGAGTGCTTTTCTTATCAGTGGAATTAATGGGTCACTTGCTCAAAGGTTCTTGTTCAATTTCCTTTGCCTAGGAGATACTGTAAAGTGGGGGTTCATTTCTTTTCAATACCCAAGGTCTTGTTACGGGGAATCACACACTATGAATGCTACAGCACCAGACCCAGAAACATAGCAATACCCTGCAAGATCTGGCTCCTGCAATACTGCTTTTGTCATTTTATGCTTTTAAAAGCAGCATTAGAGAATTAGCTGAAGGCTTCAGTTTCAAATTTGTGTCAGTCAGTTTCCAGTGAAATATACACTCACTTTAGAAAAATGCATTTCTTTGTTCTGCTGACATTTGCAGATGTTTATTTGGCATTTATGAGGGAGACAAGTCCATTGTTTTTGCTGCTTTTGTGTTACCATCCTGTGAAATTTGTCACAGTTGGACAGCTACCACAAAGCATTTTGTAGACAATGACATTTCTGTTATTCAGAAATCAGAAGTATGAGCAGAAAAGAGAAATGATATAATCTTCAATAACTACACTATCAAGCACCCTTTCGTGTTTCAATACTTTGTTCAATATTTTGCCAACAGCACATTTTTAGATTTTTTTGATGACTTTAACAGTGTCAGTTCTGAACATTTTTTATCAAATGGCAGTGGTGCAGTAGCCTGACTTTCAAAACTGCCCTCAGCTCACAAGGTATTAATGTTCTGTAGACACAGTCAAATTTTAATTACCATGGGGTTCAATGACCACTTTATCACACAAAAACACTAAACATTTTTCTGTCTTCCTGTGTCATAGCTAAGAATTAGGTAGCACCATTATCTCAATTAATTAAATGGTAATCTGGCATTTGCCTTTCTGTGCAAAATGTGACAAAAAGTACACAGTACAGTTCCAACGGGCTGACAGGACAGTTGTAATAAACTAAAAAAATGTTTTATGCTGTACTTTTGATGGGCTATTCTTCAGATGGCTTAATTTTTAATATCCAAAAATACCTTTTTCAGTCTCCAGTTTTTAGGGATGCAAGAACTCATAATCCACACAGGTCTCCACCATCTTATGCAGTTTTGAGTTTACATGCAGAATTATTTGATGCCAAAATTTCATTTTACACATGATCTAACACAGTGTCTGTCACTGCGTTGGTGAATTTCTGCCATTTTCTTCCCAGGGAACCAGCAATGCATTCCGTCTCATTTATCTTATGGTATCGCACACACTCCATATTTTGTCTCCTACATTTTCTTTATAATCTCCCATTGTGCTTTTTGAAATATTGTGCATTGATGAACAATGGCTCCTACACATGTTATGAGAAAGAAAGCGTCACAATATGTGATGACTTTGGAAAAGACAATAGAACCAGTTTGCATGAGGTGAATCATGTGCTGTGGTAAGGAGACTAATATGGGTAGATGTGAGATCCATATCTGTACCAATTTGTTTTTCAACAAATTGCATGTCATTATTAGGTTTGTCTGAAACTATTGAATTTTTACACTGCCTGTTTCCTTGTTTGTTTACTTTACTGTATCCCACTTCTCAGATATGAAAGATTTACAACTATACAAATGTTTCTGTTTTGAGAACTCCAATCAAGCATGTTGCTACTGAGAGAGTTCATTAGGATTCATCATGTCACTTCATAGAACCCATGGAGACAATGTTAACCAGAGCAGAAGCTGTGCTAGGCATTTTTACTGATGTTTGTGATGTACAGTATTTGATTATTTATAAATCCTTCAAAAATAGTGACTTACAGCACAATATTTAACAAAAGCATCATGAGATACAATAATAATCTTGCAGACTGACAAGTAAGTATTAATATTCAGACTTTGACCATTTATCAATGACTCTGTGCCTGCTGATTGTGGAGACAGTGGCCGTCTCTCCCCCTCCCACAGCACACTGGGTGCTGCAAATGGGAAAGGACGTGGAGTGTGGAAATGAATCAGAGACAAAGATAGAATGCTGAATTGAAACTGCATGAAATAAAGCCTTTGAAAACTGTTATTCAAAATATACAGAAACCAAACAAAACCCTAGCTGTGTGCTTCAATGTCGACAAAAAGCTTTTATGCTGAAATCTGGACCTATTCTTTACCACAGTGCCCCATATTTATGAATGCTCATTTGACCTCTTGTTTGTGTTTGTAACCCACAGGAAAAGTGTCACCAATACTGGCCTGCGGAACGTTCTGCAAGGTACCAGTATTTTGTTGTGGACCCCATGGCTGAATACAACATGCCCCAGTACATCCTGAGGGAATTCAAAGTTACAGATGCCAGAGTAAGTAACCTCTTAAAGCAATGGCCCTCGTTTTCCAACGTACTTAAATCATGAGAGTATATTGGACTATAAGCAGACTACATTGCAGATAGAATAATGGAAAAAGTGTGTAATGGATCATTTAAACAAAGCCTTCAAATAGAACACGCACAGAAGAACAGGCAATATTGGCGAGTAATGGCAAGAAGGCAGCCTGTGTTTGCTGGCACTTGATCTCTTAAATTTCTTTGATCTTCAACACCTTTTTTGAACTGCATGTTGTAACATGCTGTGCCGTCTAATGGGTTGTTAGGAGAAACATTTCAAAGGACACAGACCTGTGTAACAGGAATGGGTTGATCCAGCTTTGTTTTAAGTGCAGTTAGTCCCTCATCCAGCTGGAGTCCCCTATTTATCGGCCCTGCCAGGAGTGGTGCCACTAGGGTTGACAGGCTATAGAGGATAGAGAGGCAGCATCAGCTCCCCTACGGCTGCCACGCCCACCTACAACCACCCTGTCACATACATAGAGATTCACAGGAGCAGGGCAACAAAGATACAGGTCTACAGGGTTCTATACCAGTGCAATATTGTACCTTGTTACTGCTTAGCTTTAGACCCAATTGTGATATCTTATTATCCTCTTATGCTTTAGCTTTTGCTGGCATCTTTAAAACTTTTATATTTTACAACTCTTATGAAATGTTTTAAATATTAAAATGGTCTGAATTTTATTAGTATTTGTTAGCATAACTGGATCACAGCTATTCTTTCACTAGTACTGTTTCACTTAGAGAAGATCGGGCCTGCAGTGAGTCAAGTAAGAGAATGTGGATACTTGCCAGACCAGTAAGAGGATTAACTTCAATAATAGTTATAATATTGGCAAGTGCAAAGAGGGGTTTAAAAGAAATGTCTGGAAGAAGACAGATGATGAAGATGGGATTCTTTAAAGAGTACATGTTTCACCGTAGAAGTCAATGCCATGTGAAAACAGAGTAAAAGAAGTTTACACAATATTGACTTTAATTTCAAATAGTTTCAAATATTCTCGAACAATGCAGAGAAATCCCACAGGCAGAACAAAAACAGTTTTGTTTAGACGGTGTACACATACAGCATAAATGATTAAAGTTTCTAAGACAAAATGTTTTAAGCAAGCCTATCAAAAACAGGATGACTATGTGGTTGATGTCACCCTGAGGCTGATGTGAGCAAGGTTGTGGATTTGACAATGAATGAAAGATGACAGGCGATGAAACACTACTGCAACAATCCAAAACGTAAGGTGTTTCCACAACAGCAAACCTTCATAGTTTCTCTACAGAAGATGAGTATAGACTGCAAACAAGATAACTGTCTTCAGGATTGCAGGCAGTGGGAATTCAAATTTTGTGCCTTAACTGATGTGACATTAACTGCTTAAAAAACAGCTCTTCCGTCTGCTCACGAACTCTATCGCCTGCCGCTGTCCCCGGAGAAGTTTGCGGCCAGCCCCCAGGTTTTGAAGAAAATATCTATGCTGTGAAAATATTTACTAAAATGTCAGAATGGCTGTCTAGTTTGATAATTACACAGTAAAGTGTTCTGTGATTGCTGACATTTTGAAGAATTGTTTTGATGAATTTTATAAATCAAAAGGCTGTATGTCGATTGGGCAGATTGGCACTTTTGGGGCATTTATCATGGTTTGTAAAATGGTCAGCTGCCACCTGTCTCTGGTGTCCTTGGCAACAGGGTTGCTATGGAAGTACAACCATTACATCATCATTGCCTCTCACACTGTGCAGCTTTGCTGTGTTTCACTGAGCACAAGCACTGAGAAAAGCTTTTCTTTTTAGACAAACAAAACATTAAGGAAACTACAGGACCCCTAGTTAAAACAGCTCTCCTGGGCCTTGAAACCTCACATTAAACCATTCAGCCCACTGCTGTTCTGGTTCCTACTGAGGGAGATGATATAAAATGCTTGTTAAATACATGTTCTATCGCCGCACGGTGTCTTATAGAAGATAAGTGCCTTAGATCTTCACACCGGCATGAGGTGACCGGCCAAGGCAGTATTCATTTTAGTGAGTCTTAATTAAAATTAAATCATCAAAGCTGGCTCTTTCCCAATCAGAATGTGTGTAGAATTCTCCCATTTGTTTTAAATCTTTGATCCAAGGTGGCTGAAAAAGCTTGGGGCTGTTGTACACCTTGCAACTAGTTGGAACAGTACTGACATCCTACTTTAGTTGCTTTTAAATTTATTTCTCCACAGAGAAAATGAAAATCTTGTATTTAATTATTTTGCTGTGTGAAAATGCCTGCAGGTGTTTTTGTGTTTAATTTTTAATTAAGTGGAATAAAAAAATTGTTTTGTTAAATGGGACTTCAGAGGTAAACATTCAAATGCATTCAAATCCAAATTGTATTTGGGTAAAAAATAAAAGATTGTGTTGTAGCTTTTAGGCTATTGCATGGCAGGATTATTGACTGGAAGGACTGTGGGGTCTCCAGCACCTCTTTGTATAATGCATGAAGACTATATGAGACAGAAACATTTTGCAATGACAGAATCAATTTTTGCATTTCATATCAGCCATGCAAAAATTAATAAAACTAGGTGTTGACATACAGGTATATAGTTGTATGTTATTTCAGGTTACGAGTGACAGCAGAGAAATTCCAGCTGCAGTTGTCACAGAACCTGCTCTTTTAATGGCCCCTGCACAACACAGGACTTCAACACTTCTCTTCCATCGATTTGTTAAGATTATTCCCTTCACACTGTCTCCAAATACAATGTCTTTCATGCCTGATGCCATATTGATTTCTTCGCTTAGTTATTGCTTTGTAAAACAGCAGATAAAAAACACATTTTCAACTGCAAACAGCTCAGATCTTACATAAACTTTTTCTAATAATAAAATTTTATTGAGCACCTTTCAAGAAACTCAAAGGGATATACAACAGTGTGCATGTAACATACTTAACAGGTAAAAATAATTTAGTAAAATCAATAGTAGAATCAATAAAGAAAATGAGTAGAATAAAAAAATGTTTTTGTAACAGAAGACTGCTAGCCATGAAATGGTTAATTCCATGCTGAAACAAGAAGAAAAACTTCTGTGTTTCGGTTGTGGAGCCTTCTTTGGGTGTGTGTTTGAAATGTTTTGTTTCTTTTCTTCTCTTTTCAGCATGGAATAAACCTTTACTTGTTCCTTTGCAGCTTACGCATGCTGATGCAGCTTCCTCCTCGAATTAAGTGGTTAATAACAGTTCAATAGATCACTCTAGCAATTCTTTAAAATCCTGGTAAGGAATGAAAAAAACGAAGCCCAAGATGTAAACTTTTCACAATATCTGGTAAAATACCAATTTAATAGATGTGTAATGACTTGCATCTTTTACAGAGTCATATTTCTCCAGCTATGTTTGTTTCAGGCCAAAGAAACCTGCTGCTGCTCTTGACGCCCTTGAGGTTGAAAGCTTCTGTTCAATTCCAAGCCATGCGGCTGTCTCAGCTTCTACCTGCTGGCCTGACCAGCTGCCTGTGTCTTTTTGCTGCAGGATGGTCAGTCACGGACAGTGCGGCAGTTCCAGTTCACAGACTGGCCTGAGCAGGGTGTGCCAAAGTCTGGAGAGGGCTTCATAGATTTCATTGGCCAGGTACACAAAACCAAGGAGCAGTTCGGACAAGATGGACCCATCTCTGTACACTGCAGGTGAGTTGAGCAAGTCTGCTTGTATTAATCTTTTGGTAGGGTGGAAAAAATAATGTATGTGCATTTTCCTTGCCATGATATCCACAGATCCTGAAAAGAGTTGAGGGTTTAACCGTGCTCACGGGGGCCTTGCAATTCATATGCTTCAGTTGCTGCCCGGGAAGCCACTGTTAACTGATATGTTTGATTTAGCCCCACACAGCTCCAGCAGGAGCTACTGTCTGGGGAGTCCTGAGGCGCATTCAATATAGAGAGAGCTCTGACATGGCACTACAAAGCCAAAGATAGCTCTTATTGAAGTGGAGTTAGGACAGAGCACATTCAGACACTGATAAAAGAAAAACAACTCAGAAAGTTTATGAAAACTTATACAGAAATTGACCAGATTAGATGAAAATGGTATGAGTTTTAAAATGTATGAGTGATATTGTTTGTATTTTTTGTAAAAAAATATCTGGACGCTGGCTCAGGATACCTGTTGCCTCTCTCCGAGACGTGCCCAGTGAGGCTGAGACTGAGATATCGTTGCTTTGCATTCTTGGCTAACAGGGTGTTAAGTAGCAAACATATCAAAGCACTCATCTTATTAAAACACCCCTCTGGTCACAGTTGGATACGTAGCCCAAACCTGTGGCGTTTAGGTAGGAAGGGTCTCCCCCAGCTCTAAACAAGCACCTTTACAAGCTGTGCCACTCTGGAGCTCATCTTTGAGCCCTGTTCAGATTTTTTTGTATAATCGATCAATTAAGGTTTCATAAAAATGGGCCGTCGGGCCTTTCTCCCAAGTGACTTGTTAGTTGGCTGTGTCACGTTCCCACAACCATTGTCATGCAGGGAAACACTGATGCAATCTTATCTGTAGGATTTGTAATATTCTCTGGAATTTACCATTAAAACACTAAAGAATGTAGTGGAAACATTTTGCTCCTTTTGCAAAACTGCTTTAGAATGTACATTGCTGTTGCTTTTTAAAATTTTCATTTTGTAGTATCTCTACTCTAATTTAATCCCTGGTACAATTCAGAGATGCTGTTGATAATAGTCCCCCTGCTTTATCTCCTACTTCAAAATACTGTATTTACTTTGTTTTGTTTTGTTTTGTTATTTATCTGACAGAACAAAACAAATTCTAGTTTTATTTACTGAATCACTAAACTCTTACAGATTGGATTAGGGGTTAGTTATAAATTATTGTGGCTACATAGATTTATTTCATACAATGTTCTAGATTTCTTAAGGGCTTAGTGGATACATGTATTTTTAATTCTTTATTTTGTGTTGTGTAGTAAAGTTTATAAGCCGGCTTGCACCCCATGTACCTGAAACAGATCCAGTATTAAGGCCAAAACAACTTTGGTTTCTCTTTTATGAAACATCCTGTTCAATAAAGCAGAACTGTTGAGAATATTGGGGCCGTCATAGTATACTGGTTGAATGAACTGAATGATATATATCCTGAATCCCTAGGAATTCGAAAATATATTGCTAGTTACCTGAAAGACATCTGTTCCAGAGTAAGTTTTGTGGACTCAAATGAAATTCTTAAATTATTTCTTCAGTATTGTTTCTTCTTTACATCTTGGAAGATCACTCCTTCCCCATTTAAAGCAATTCATGCTTCATCATTGATTACTTTGAGTAGAATGATTCCAAACAACTGGCAGAATTTACTCTAAAACAAATCAAAATCAGTTGAAATTGCCAGACTGTAACCATCAGTTTTCTGCCCTAGATTAGGATCAAGTGTTGACACAGCAGGTGTCCTTTGTCTTGAAAGAAAAGTTTTATTGTAGAAGGTATAATAATATTATGTATATACACAGGTAAAGAAATAACACTTCTTTGGTCATTTATGAACTTTGTACAGGTGTTCCACTTCAGACTTCTCTGATTTTATTATTTTATGAAGAGTAAATTCAACCTTGCAAAGTGTGATAAAATTGATTTCCCTTCTTATTTTTGGAAATCATGTTCTTATAAGATCACTTTATTGGCCATCTACAATTTCTTGTATTAGGAACTTGTCTTTTCACATACCCCAGCTTGCTCTCCATGAGACACAGACAGGGAGAGAAGCTGGGGGTCAGAGCGCAGGGTCAGCCATTGTACAGCAGCTGGGGTTCAGGACCTTGCTCAGGGGCCCAACAGAGTAGGATTCCTCTGCTGGCCGTGGGATTCGAACCGGCAACCTTCCAGCCACAGGTGCAGATCCTGAGCCACAGAGCCAACCCTCCACCCATCCCAGGATACAGCATTTCCATCCTTTCAGGCGGTTTTCCACCATATTAGATTATTAGGCAGTTTTATAGTATTGTAGTCTGCTTTGTATTAAGAGTTGACAGATTACTGCTTAGATTAATAAATAAATTTCATGTCCAATGTTGCCCCCGTGTGGTAAAAGATAATCTGGTTGATTTGTCATCCTAATTCTACACAGAGCTTCACTAAAGAAACACATAAGGTGGAAGAAATTACAATAATAACAGAAAACCATTTCAATGTATCTTAGACGACTTGACAAAACAAAACCCCTTTCTTTCTACCTTAATAAACAGATAAACAGCAAACTAAATCAAATTTGTTTAGTTGAATGAAAGCCGAGTTGGAAACTATGATCATTAGAGCCACAGTTCTTATCCACAGTTACAGGCAAAGCAGAATATTGGAATTCATTTTCTTTTCCACCACAGGCTGCCATTTCAGTTAAACAGAAATGGCTCAAATCAAACCAGCTAGTCTACTTCATGTTGCAGTTCTTCCTATATCCTATAGTTTCTTCTCCAAACTCTAAACTACAGGAAACTGGTCTGCATTGTCCTCTAGTTAGTGTGATTTGGTCAAATGCCCTTTCCAGAAGTAATCTTTCTTGTATCTTTGGATGTCTTTACAATATCTTTCTAGCAGTTCCTCAGTTTTTCTGTATCTCTTCCCTTTAGGAATGCGATTGTGTTTTTTTGGGCTCGTTTTAATAGACACAAGATTGCCCGCTACATTGCCAGATAATTTGTAATAAAAGTATTAATATTGCAATAGATTCTTCTTGTTTGGTTCTTGTCATGTTATACAGTAGGTGCAACCTTTTGGCAAATACCGGTAAATACTACTGCATGAGTAATAAAATAAGGAATCTTAACAATTTATTGTATTGATTCTTGCTCAGCTTAATTTTTAAACACTCTTCTGACTTTTATATTCTATGGTGCTGTGCTTCTCTGTTGTATAGTACAGTATGTACTGTATGATAACTTTTCTGAGCTAGGGCATCACTATAAAAAGCACAACCGTTAATACTGGTTATATGCTCTTTTAATTTTTGTGATTTTATTGATTACCCTCACATGATCTCGACAAAACTCGATCTAGAAAGTTTATTCAAAACACAGCTCTGCATTGTACGTGCAGGCCAGTCCGTTGTCTGTAGCCTTTCTTGCTCCACTGAATTCTCTCCTAATTCTCTGCTAAGTTCGTATCTAATGGAGCCATATGGTTTTGTTATTAATTGCCTGATTACTTCCAGTGAATGGAAATTTAAATCCTTTCTTTCATTTAGTCTCTCTGGCTGTCAGCTTTTAAAGTCTATCTATTTAAAACGGTTGATCAAGTTTAAGAACCATTTGACAGACTGTGACCAAGTCAAAGGAAAGGCTTTTTTTCCGGGAAGGGGTATAAACCTGCGGTGAAAGGCAGGATGTTAAATCGTTTCACATTGGATATTCCTCAGGCATCACCGAGTCCTGCGGCGCTCGGCTCTCTCACAGCACCAGGCCCCCTGACTCTTTGTTCTTTTTACTTGTTGGTCTCAGACTGTTTGTCCTTTTGTGCTTTGAGATTTAAACTTCAGGATTTTTTTTTAATATCGGCTCTTCATGGGGCCAATAGTTTTTTTTAATGTCAGTTTTCAAAAATATTGTCCTCATTCTAACAAGAAATACTTTTATCCCTGTTTCGCTCATGGGGTCAGTTTTAGGAATTCTGTACCACATTCATTCACTATTCGTTTGTGTTTTGCAAATCAAGCTATACAAATATATTTGCCATGTTTCACACAGATAATACAATAATTATACTTAGTAAGATATATATATCCTGCAGGAAATCACTTATTCCGCCATTTGAAATTGCAATCAAACCATTTTACAGTAGGATTTTTAAAATATTTAAGGATATGGGTTAGCGCAACTTTATATTTTCAGAAATGTTAAATTTGTGCAAGATGACTAAAGAAAAAATAACTTTTTTTCTTCAGTTTACAGTGTCAATAATTTGTCATTTTCATTAGCTGATCCTCTACAAGCTGCTGCACATTTTTCACCAGCGATATTTCAACAAGCTTTCTCCTTTTCAGGTTTCTCCTTCTAAGTACCAACTGCTCAGAGCAGAGCCAGTGTCAAGTTAGCTGTCTGTCTATGACCAAAGCAGTAATATTAGATGTCTCTTGACTCTGGTTAAGGCAGGCACAGAAGGTATAAACTGTACTTTTACAGAAGGTCTGGGAGTGATATTGAGTAATTCTGTGCGTTCTGGACATCAATCAGATGTGGCTTTGAATGACAGAGCAGAAAGTGGCAATCCTGAGCTCATGGGTGTCTGAAACAAGCAGGCTTAATAGGATGTTCTTAGTCACAAACTCTGGGTTTGATCCCTCTCTGTTCCCCATGAGGAGGGTAGCAGGGCAGCTCACCTCATTACTCTGCCCTGTCAAGTGTGACTTTGTGCATTCCAGCTTACAGATGGGTATGGGTTTAATAGATGATAATCACACGTTCATAATGAGTTGAACTAAAGTTTGCTCCGCTTTGAGCAAGTAATTTGTTCAGCTGTGTCATAAACAACCATCTGGGGACAGTAGGATGTTTCATTGATCTCTAGGGTAATCATCTGAACAAATCAGCTACTTAAGCTGTCAAAATGAAATTTATCCAAGTCTATAGATATGAATGATTGAAAACTGCCCTATAGGTCTAGTGCATTATGGCTCTCCAAGTATAGAGTAAGCGAAAGCGAGAGCAAGTGCAGTGCACAGGGTAGCAGCAGTCTTTCTCCGGGATGTCAAGGATGACACATTTGGGGCTCACAGGCCACTGTGCGAGTGCTTGGCCTGCTGCCCTCTCAAATATTGGGGTTTCACCCTACACAGGATACAATCATCATTTAAATATTTCTATTAATTCTTTCCGAGAGGTCAGACTGTAGATCCTAGTTTGTAGTGAGGTTTTGTGTCGCCGTCCCCAACCCCAGTTTGTACAGAAATCCCAACACCCAATACCCTGGCTTCCTTTCAGAAGTAGCTGGACGAGATCCTTGTATTACTTGGATATTGACTAGCAAACAGACTAAATTTGTTTGAATTGCCTTTTGACATTTGTAACCAGTCTTATGTTACAAGTATATCTTACAAGGTCCACCACTCTGTAACATTTTGACAAGCACAATGGTACTTGTAGTTAGTCACGTATCGTCCATTACCTTTATGTCTTGTGAGTTTTGATATCAGAAAAAAGATCTACTTATACTGCATATTTGATACCAGTACTATCTTGATTTACAAAGGGGACATTGTCTTCAAAAAACGCATAATAAAACAATCGATAATTTTTAGCCTTCAATCATTCATATTGTGCTTCCTGGGATAGCCCTGTATTATTTTGTTCACATTATTCTAGATTGTTCTTCATGTCAGTGGTGCAAGGCTAAACACAGAGACTATTGCTAACTTTTTACATGCTGATTCTCAAATCCACCTTCTTATTTAGTAATACGTTTGTGTAGTCTCTCTGTGCGAGTAATGGTTGTGAATGATTTCGTTTTTAAATCCTTTGTAGTGTAGATGGACATAAATATTTTACATGAAGACTAACTATGCCTCTCACCCTCCATAACCACATGGATGGACATTTAAAACCAAGAACAGGGAGAATATTTTACTCAGAGTTCTGGGTATGTAACAAGACACCTGGCCAAGTTGATGAAGTAGAAAAGTAGTCTTTCAAAAAACAGCTGGATTATTGAACTGTTTTTACTATTTATCAAATGAGCTAGATGGCCAGAAAGGCCTCCTCTCATTGCCAACTGTCATGTTCCCAGGATTGTAGGACCATGACACTGTCTTGGCTGGAAAACCCATGCAGTGAAATCCCACTAATGCTGAAATGTGATTTAAAGGTGCCCACTATTTAGCAATTGTGTTAACATTAATGTTTGTAAACTAAATGTTAATAAACTGATACCTTTACTGTGCATTTGTCATGCATATTACCGAGTTACTTTTAGGAATACTCATTTTACCTTACGTTTTCATGTTTCTGACAAGGTTTTGCTTTACATTCACAGTACATTTCTCATCTTTCTGTGCTCTAAAATAACTCTCAGTTAAAACTCACGCAAAATGCTTATGTTTATCTTTGGTTTACTATGTATTATCTGTGATCCTAGATTTTCTTTGTCCCTGATTTGAATGTGTTTTAATCTTTGTAATCCGGAGGCATGAGAACCGTGATAGGGCACGTCTGAACGCCGTCGTCAGCCCGGGTGGAAGACATACTGAGATCAGACAGGCCAGCAGGGATGGGGGTGGGACCGGGGGTCAGGAGTCGGTCCCTGTGGAACTGTACTTTGATTGCGATGTAGATGGGTCGTGTTGGGGGTAAGCAGGATTTGTGGATGCACCCCTAGCTCTTTCTCAGGGAGAAGCTGTTTTTCTGAGGGGTCTTTTTGTGTTCTTTAGCGCGGGAGTGGGACGGACCGGAGTCTTCATCACGCTCAGCATCGTCCTAGAGCGCATGCGCTATGAAGGGGTGGTGGATATCTTCCAGACGGTCAAGATGTTGCGAACGCAGCGGCCGGCCATGGTGCAAACAGAAGTGAGTAACCCGTATCTCTTCCCCCACGGTGCAGCTTAGCCTCTGGGTTCTGAGCCCTGGTGTCCCATGCAGTAAACTGAAGGTACAGTTACTGTTTCAAAACCATGCATCCTGACTGCCATAGCTGCAGTGTTTGCCTTGGTGTTATGTAGAACTTCATGTGTAATTATGATTCTTACATGTGAGTGGAAACAGCATCAGTGCTTATCAGAACCTGGTAAAAAATGGAATGTACCTAACCTCTGTCCCTGCAGATTGTTTGAAAAACAGTAGTCCCAGGATTCAGGGATGAAGAAGAGGAACTCCTTTGCATTAAAGCAGGTTTTAATATTTTCTCTCTTTCTTTTATCAGGATGAATACCAGTTTTGCTACCAGGCTGCTCTGGAATACCTAGGAAGTTTTGATCACTATGCAACGTAATAAGCCATCTTGTCAGCGATTTTACCGTCCCCCAGTCCACAGTCTTCTGAGCCATAGAAACTTGCGTGAAATTTTAAGACAAAATTCTCAACATAACAACAAGATGAAGAACAACAACAACAACAACAACGAAAAACACTTATTCGGACTAAAAAAAAAAAGACTGTAGTGAGGGAGGAAGGAATTTTAAAGGAGTGCGTCACACATACAGAAGCCCTCACTCAGGAATAATCTGGAACCAAATGGAGGCTCAAGCTGTCGGTTGGGAACTTTTTTTATGTGTTGGACTGCTAACCTTACCTCAAGTGTTCAGACGTGGAGGACATTATAAATATTTTGTGGACATCTATTAAATACAAAAAAAACAACAAAAACAACAGTAAACAAAAAAAACTACATCAAAATGTTGCTTCATTTTGATGCTCAAGAAGGGAGAAACAAGTTCTGTGTTTTAAATTGACAAAATAAGAAAAAAGGGGACTTGGTTACATTAGACTAAGGATTCATGTGTCCATGATCAGGGTTATGTTTCAGCAGTACATCCCTTTGGAAAGGGGGAGTAATAACATAGTGATTCTGGCATCGTAGACAAGCCTTCAAGCTGTGCCCACTGTTGTCCCAGGAAATGGTAGTTTAGACCCCTAAGAGATTTAATGTCTTCATAGAGAACAGGAGATTGAATATTAGTACCAAGGAAAGAGGAGGAGATAATGCAGTCCACCCCACCCATCTTTACCACCCATTGCTTGTTACACCCTGATGTTAGGCCGAGTGAAGACTTGACACTTGCTTCTGTTAGCCTTCCAGCAGTCCTTACAAGCAATTATGGGCTGTCAAAAAAAAGCAATCTAGATTTAAAGAAAAAATATTTTTTTAAAATCTATTTTTAACAACAGAACAGTCGAGGGTTTAAAAGGCAAAAGGAATTTGAAAACATCACGTTTAATAGGAATATTTTTCTGCTTCCGCAGCATATGGATTTAGGCAGAGGTCAAGCAGCCAGCAACGTTACGTTAAGGGAGTGGAGGAAGGGTGGTGCATTTCTGAATGTTGAAGTTGAAGTATAAACTGGAGGGCAAGGGGCATAACTGAAATGTATTGGATTTCTCCTGCAAGAGAAGCCTTTTTTCCAAGAAAGAGAAGTGAGGACACAGTTGTTCAAAGTTGAAGAGATTCTTATCTGGGTGTGTTGTTGTCCAGTGAAGTTCTCTGTCAGTATCTGTATATCTGTTAACTGTACTTGCATACAGGTGAATTGTGGACTTTGAAAAGCACTTTATCCAGACTCTCTCAAATGTGCTCCCTTTTTAAATTTGGTAACAACAAATTTGGGTTAACTCGCGGACAAGTGAAAACAATCCAGAATATTCCATCAGGGCTTTCTGGGGTCTGGGCTAGAACGGATGGTTAGAACCAAATATTTGAGCGGACTGGGGTTATCCACATGATGATCGCTGTATAAATTGCTCAATAATAGACTGAAACAAATGCTATTTTCACCAAAAGTCTAAAAAGTCCGTTTATTATGTATGAATCCATTACCTTCTTAAATTCTGAAAGTTCTGAACCACTTCATTTAATTGCAGTAAGCTCTTTCAACTATTCAGGATTCTTTTGTTAAGACATCAAAAGGGCTGGGTATCTGCTGCTCACTTCACAATAATCAGATTATCTTCTGTAAACAGGGAGCAGAGAGATATAAATGCTGTGCATTACAAGGTCAGTTTTAAGGCTGCATGAATGTCTCAGAAACTGTGGACTGTAACTCATCCACAATAGTCGGCAAATACAGATTCCCAGTTTTGCTAAATAGCAGACCAGGAGAAGAAGGCAGAATGCTTTTTTGTATTGGTTTGCACAAGCAGCTGTAGCAATCATTCCATTGAAAGGACTGAACACATCCCTTTTCTGTAAAGAGTGTGCAAGGAGGAAACTGAGCGGGTTGTTGTTTTAAATGAAAAAGCAGAACAGTGAAATTTCCTTCCATTAAACCTGCTACCTGTCTTTTTTTTGTAACTGTAGTAAGCAGTTTATTGCAAGCATGCTTTGTTTTTCCAATAATTTCAAAATAATTAAGATACATTAAATATACATCACTACAGTCGTTCAAACCTGGTATGTCCCTTTTCTATTGCAAAAGATCTAAATAATGATCTTGTGAAGGAGGTAACAGCACCAGGTTACTGAAGAAATTATCCTGGAATATATTTTACCAGCCCATACCTCAAAGAGTTGTTCTCCCTTGTTGCCAGCATCTTAATAGAAATTAAATCAGCACTTGAACTGTTTGCTATGGTGTGATATTTAGGCACAGGGCCAAGGCCTATTAGGTCATGATGGCTTGGGTAACTTTTTCAACCACTGTGTACAAAGAAGAAGAGAATGGTTTTGTTATTCTTTTGTTCAGAGTCAAAAGGAGGGGTTATTGCTTTTAGTAAGGCCTTGTCACCTTGCCTGATCTACAGTGCACTCAAAGATGCTTGTGAGGCTCCACTTTAGAAATCACTACAAGTGGTTTATCATTGCTCCTCGAAACAAGTTCAGAATGCCAAAACGAAATCACTCCCTCAGTTGCTGTTGAACAAACCAGGATACCAAGCAAATTGGTGGGATTACAGAGTATGAAAATAATGTTTTAGACAAGGAAAAGTATTGAAAGAACAAATCAAGTGGACTGTTGCTTGTCTGTTAGCTACTTCACCAGGTAATTCGAGACCGAGGTAAACAGACAAAGCCAGCTGGGCCTCAATTAAAAATGGAAAGTGCTCCTATAAAACATGTTGAATTAGATCACTTGTCTTTAGAATTGAAAGTTGTTTTCTTGAGAGGTATTAAAATTCTGTCAACACTTGGTGATGTCTGCATATGTAGTGGAACTCCCCCCAACACTCACCCACAGAACCAGTATCCCACCAGACAGTTGTTTTTCGGCTCAGAAGGAAGTACACCTCCAGCTCAGTAGGTGTTCACTCACGTATGGAGCTGCCTGGGAGCTGTGAGTTGTCCAAAAAAGCCTTATTGTTCTCAATATTCATAGAATAAACATTTTATATTTGCTTTCCCTTTTACCTGGCATTTTCATTTTCATTTAGTTACAGTGCTTAACAAAAAATCTAGTTTGCATTATTAAAGTCAGCGGGGAAAAATGCATATTTGTTCATATTATGTTAAAAAGACATTTCTATTTTTTCACTGTAGAATTGTTAATTGTAAGGTGTGTGTGAATACATATATTTTCACAGTGTATATGTATTCACAAATGCAGTTTATATATACAGTATATATATCATCCAGAATGTTACTATAAATTTTGTTTTTATTTTTTTTCCTTTTTTTTACCTTTTAGAGCCTTTTAATTGCTGTTATAAAAAAGAATATGATGGCTTTTCTTTTTTAAATTTGTAATCACAACCTTGGGAAATATTTTGCGTTTCTCTGGAAACAGTGAAATGGGTAGGGCTGCTGCATTGTGCTGTTGCCTCAGACCCTTTTAATTTACTACCACTCGGTAGACTGTGCTGATAGCATAGTTGTTTTTATTATTAATATTATTACAATGATGATTATTAGTATTAGTATCTTTTTTTAAGTAGCAAATTAAACTGGTCTACTAAACAATGAATCTGAGAATTAATTAGACAATAACCATTTAATTACTACTGTACTGGACAGATTAATTCTGCTGTACGCGGTGAAAATGTATGTTTTTTTAAGCCCTCTCTTTCTGTAGTTTTCAAATTTTACTAACACAGATTAACTATTGACTATGTTGTATACCATTTATGGGCCAGAACAGAATTTATATATATAAAAAATCTGGTCCTTCTAAACTTGAAAAAAGAAAGCTGGAATGCTAATCACCCAGAGTTCTCAGAGGTCTGCTCTTCGTGTTGCCTTTTGGTTTTGGTCTCTGGGTTTTTGCTTAAGTTGGACCACTGGCACAGGGACTGCATGGTGTTGTTCACAGCGATAGTGCCATGATGTCCGGATGGCTTTTGCCATCAGTGATCATGTGATGCTTTTGTGCACAGCAAGCAAGGTTTCGGCCATGCTGTCTTCAAGCCTGACGAGCCAGCACTGTCACACTGCCACAGAGGAAATGTCTTGTAATACTGCCCCTCTGTTTAGACCACATTATGCTCGACTCCCTCCACGTCAGCAGAGATCAAAGTCTAAGAAACCAGATGTTTGTGTCCCACTTTTAATTTCTTGTTTGCCACTGTATACTAAGAGGCACTAAAAGCATAACAAATGCTAATGATTTCCATACTCATGTGTTGGGCTTTCAATGCTTCTTAGTACGGTAAATAAATTTGGGCTCCTGAGCAAAGCGAGACCGCATTTTAGAAACTCTTAAGCTGTTTCTAAAGCCGTTTGTGGAGCTACAGTTGTGCTGACTGGGGCTCTCCACTTGTAATTGGAAGGTTGTGGGTTCACATCCCCAGTGGAGCACTGTTACAGTATGGTACTGTACACTGCTCAAAGGCCCTTCATCAAGGTATTTCACTCATACTGCTTCAATAAAGTACCCAGCTGTGCACATGGTTACAAATGTAAGTTGCTTTGGATAAAGCATATATTGATATTACATCTTTACATGGAAAAGAAATTAAGTATTCTGATCTGAAAAAAGCACGAAGGGCTGTTTGCCCAGTGCCTGAACTAGTCAAGGCAATGAGCAGAAGAATCCTGGGAGACAGCAATGATGGCAGCTTTCTATGCTGAAATGAATTCCTTGAATTGTACCTGTGTGACGTACATTGTAGTTGACAAATTGGTGGTTGATTGCTCAACGCACCTTTGTTCTTAAGACGACCCTTATAAATTGTCTGTGTTGTATCAAATTTGTTGGTGAGGCATTGTTAGTACATGCAATGTATTCTCGTTAGGGGACCGAGAACAAATCTGGATTTCTTTTCAAAAACTGAAAGGCGCAAATACAACCAGAAGAACATAAAAGGGCAAAGACTTGCTCATCTAGCAATCCTCTGAGGTTGCCAACATGGCCTCAAACAGCTTGGATTTTTACGCAAAACCCATTTTGAGGATAAGAAAGCCTAGTCTGGATGTGAGAACTGCTAAGGAGCCAGGGAGAAATGAGGACTGCAAAGGAGTTTTGGAAGCTTGTTCAACTTGTTGCTCTGTAACTAGTGAAAGTTGCCAGAATTAGGACTTATGTTGCAGCCAAACTAATGGAACATTTGTTCAATGGTAAAACAGAAAAAATAAAAAAATGAAAATGAAAAATACAACAAAAAAAAGTTTCTTTGTATGAGGGCCAAGTGCTATCGCTTTCAAAACTGTTAACTGAAACAATAATTGGTTTAAAACCACTGTGTATGTAGATACGTTGACTTTGTATTAAAGAAAAGATTGTCTGAAAGCAAGTGTGGCTTTTTCTTTTCTTTTCCATTTTCACTGCCTTGTTTTAGTCATCTCCATCATATTAACTCGCAGTAATACTAGTACTTGGCAGTTTTTGAAAATTAAGGTATGCAGCCTAATGCGGAGGAGGCCAGTGAAGAAATAGAAACATCAACCTGCACGTTGGGAAGAACACAACAAATACTATTTCTAATGACATATTATAACCAATTTATGACCTGTAAGCAATTATTCAATAACTCTCATACTATACACTGTTAAAAGTTATATTACTTGTTATAGCTTCTGTACCTTGGAAAATGGTGTATCATCTGTTAACGTTTAACAGAAAAAGAAATAATGCTAATAAACATGCTTACATCTTGTTTTAACACTTCACAGCTGTCCCATTTAACAGTGTAACTGCTAATTACTACCAAAAATAGAATGTTCTGAAGATAATATAATAAGCATTAAGAAGACATTTCCAATTTTTAGCATGGATTTAACATTTACTTGGTCCTTTATTATAATATGATGTCTAGGTAAGGTAGCACTGAACGTGTGATCTATATTTAAATATTATTACATGAAGTATATTCTAGGACATTAAGCCAATTATGTTGATTCTTTTCCTTTTCAAACTTTGCAACGGATGCTTTAATTACTTCTCCCCGCACTACAAATCGCCTGTTCACATTTGTTGTAAACGCTGATGCACCACATTGTTCCAGCTCTCCCCCTCCTGGCAGTCACACTCACCACAGGTCCTGCCAACAACCTCCAGAGACTCACTGCCACCCAAGTGAGGAACAGCCTTGATGGTTTCTATAAAGGGGTATAAACCTTCAACGATGGTCCTGAAACAATTGCACAATGAACCAGATTTCATTGCAGTTCAGTGCAGCTGAACAAGTGATTAGGGGATCAATGCATTGAATTACACAAAGGCCTGGGTTATTTGTAATACCTGGGGAAGCAATAAATTGTATTATTGGGGAGCTTCATTGTGCGCTTGGCTGCTACAAACAAATCAATTACAAAGTGAAAATTAATTATGAAATGTTTGTGCTTTGTTTCTTTTTCTAACCCTCCATGTTGCAGCGTTTTCAATGAGTGCTCAATTTAGTCTCTTGTTTCAAGACTTTGTCTCAAACTGATCCTGAATCATTTCACTAGAAGATCAAGACAGTCTTAAGAAAAGGTTTGGATGACAACAGATGATGGATGTCAGCCCATTTTCCAAGAAAGCGTAAGGACAGTTATAACTGACAGGAGTCCATTCCGTAGTTAATAGGTAAGTGATCCAAGGATTTCATCCAGGCGTTATATTTCAAAGTCAGTTTTCCAGAAATTGTAACCATATGTTCAGTTTCAAAATATACTTAGAAGCACACTGTATTTTGATCTCATTTCCCTAATGACTATCTCATCTCTGCTTGCCTGGCTCTGTTTCGATTGTTTGAAAAGACCAGATCTATGCAAACATTATCCCTTGTAAGAAATATGACAAACTGAGTATGGAAGCAGTCATTAGTGTTTGCTGCTGAGAGTCTTAGAGGTCTTTCCCAGTTGAAAAAATTGAAGTCTCCCATAAAAACTATTTCATTTAAACGTAAAACCTTAATTTTATTACACTGTATTAAATTATAATCAGCATGTGGATTTTGTGGCCTAAAGCAGGGTTTCCAACCTTGAGTCCATGGACCCCATGAGGGGTCGCTAGGATTTTACAGATTTGAGGTATTATATTATTATTTACCTTATAATAAAAAATATCTTCTACTGAAGTGATCCAAACAATTTATATTTAACTTCATATTCAAATTACAGTCTGGATTAAACAGTAGCCCATGTTTTCTTAATTCACCTTTGATCTACAGTATGTCACAATCACATCTCACCCCACATTTTGAACAAAAGATTTTGGAGAAAACGAGGTGTTAACAGGAGAGCTACCTCGATTTGGATTTGATATAAAGTGCAGATAAGAGTCAACCACAATTTTGTGACAAATGGGGAACATTTAGAGCATGAAACCTTGCAAATTGCAGAGACACCCGGAAAATTGACACCCAGCTACCCAAGGGTAGCTATAAAAGTGAAAACAGTACCGCTACCAGACTATACAGTCAAAGAATCGATAGGATGGCACGTAACTGCGAGAGTGTTTTCATAAACAAATTGGAAAGTGGACCATTGGCAGTTCTGTTGGACAACAACCGTTGCAGATGAGGCAGTATCAGTCGTGTACGAGCAATACAACGATGAAACAATGCATTAAAACAAGACATTCTCATGTCCGTTAGCCCTGCAACCACAAGAAGAAAATGACATTTTTTAAGAATCTGGCTCCTATTTTACAGCACAGAAACCTCCATTTAAGAATACTGTTGCCTGCTGTACTGATGGGGCAACTTCCATGATGGGAAAAAAGACACGGGATCCAATCGCAACTTAAAAGAACAGACTCTTTGTCTGTCTCTAATTTCCTTCCTCTTTCTGTTTTCCATTCCCATTTGTGACACACCACTGCTTACATCTGAAAAATTACAGGCTATGTATAATCTGACTCCTCTCTGTTAATCAGTTCTTGATTGATTGATGTGCCTTGGCTTTTAATTTGAAAATTAACCTTTGTTGAGGAACCATGTTAATGTCATCATACATTTCCATTGTTTCTTATAATTTCCTTTTTTTCTTAGGTGTTCATCCAATTTAACTCAATCTTTCCATAACTCTCACTGTTACAGAAGAAATATTGATTGGTCTACAGTTTCCAGATTAAGATTTGTTTATTTTTGTTGCTTTTGCAATTCTACAATCTGTGAATACACTTCCCATACTGAGTGAGTTGAAATATCCTAGCTAGGGACCTATGAATATGTCCCTAACTTCCTTAGGTATGACTGGGTAAGTATTATCAAGCTCTGGCAATTGATTAGTTTGAACCCGACTTAGCCACTGTAGGGACTCGGTATCGATTGGTACACAGTACACATGAAGCTGCTTCTATGACATTGAGCATATTAATAATGGCCCATGTTGAGACATTCATTTTGCAAGGTTCATTTTCTATTATTATTTAAACCCTTTTCTATCTACAATTTCTGGGACCTCAGATTCATGCATGGCAGTTGATCAAAATCTACCGTTGAAATATACCAACACCCTGCATCAGCAGTGAAACTGGCCACATTTTTCCTTACTTTTTAAATCCCTTATTTTATACAGAATATACCGAATAAAAGAACAGAAGTTAAATCAGAAATCTAGTGAGCCAGGTAGATAACATCTAATTCAAAAATGACCAATTTAAATACAAGCTTTAACACAATGCTGTAATTTTTTTTTAGAAATAAATGAAAAAAAAACATCCTGCACATCTGCTGTGTCACAGAGCTTTAATGCGGTACCAAACTGTGTACTCTTTTAATGCATTATCTTTCAATGTGTCTCATTGGGCATTGAAGGTGCCAACCCAGCCTGAAGTATAATCTGGAAATTGCTGCCCAGCAGGTTTCTTCTTTCAAACACAGGTACTGCTGTTAGCAAAGAAAATAAAGAACCTAAAATGTTTTACCAGCATGTCTCTAAACAAAACAAAAATTACTGCTTAATACTTTTGGCTAATTCACATCACCCCCTTCCACTTCCTACACCCAGCCACCCTCTTCTGCCCTCTAAACATACTGTAAGTACTGCAGCACACCCCCACAGAATGAAGAACTCCACAGCCAGTCAATAATCCCTGGCTTAAAACGGCTTCACTGAGGAAAAGCCTACACACTTGAAGGCAGAGAAAGGGCACAGAGTACAGTGTAATAATGCAATACAGCAGGGGCATAAGGAAAATCTGCTGTAGACACCAGGTGAAAGTTTTATTACAGTTAAAGTTATGTGGAGGATACTGGTACAGTACATTAGTAAAATGTTTGGCTTATCCCAAAACCTGTTGATCCTGACAATGTTTATAGTGGTTTTTGTATAGTTCTTAAGACTAAAATAGCATATCTGGTACTCTTTCTGTCAGCATACTTGAGCATGTAAAAATGAAAAACATCAAAGAAACAAAATTGTGAAAAGGCAAAAGATTTTAGAACTCATGTCCACAAAGTAAAATGTAGCAACTTTCAAAAGGATTTTGAAAACCACTACATGACATGATTATATAATGTGTATTTAACATTATATAGGTAGTAATTGGACTGTCTGCAATCTGCGAACAATGAGAGTTTGTGTTGTACACTCGTGGGCCACATTATTAAGAACACAGTCAAACGAATTGAGACTTAGTGGTAGGTAAAGACTCCATTGAGCTAGAAGAATCTGCATTTCAGACCCACAAATTGTCATCTATATCAGATTGCTAACTGAAGGTAAGGAAGAAAGGAATGGGATTGTGCTGCAAACATCTATAAACCTTGTGGAATACATGCCACAGCCTGTTCAAGCTGTTCTTTCAATTTGCAACGCATTACTCGCGTGTTTTCTAATAATATGGACAATGAGCTTACATCCTCTACTGTGGAGACCGGCTCTTCTCACTACATTAGCACTGCAGGATTAATTAACCACAGTAGTCTCATTTACATGTAATTCCCCTCGGTACAACAACCAGCTTCACTGCATGAAATCTCAAGGGTGTGCAGTGCATCCACAGAGACTGAAGATGGTGAGACTTCTCGTCAGTTTAATAACACTGAGTAACTTATCAGGGGACTTTACATTGAATTCATTTTTTGACAAAGCAGATGGAATTTGAGCTTGCTCCATCCACTCTATCCACTGACCTGATATTTTTGTACTTTTTGTTTATCTTCTCTACAATGGCCCACTCTACAATGATTATGGCATCCATCAAATTTTTACAAGATTAATTAAAACAAAATTCTATCGATAAGCACCAAACCAACATCCCGTCTTTGTTGTCATTGTCTTTTTGATGTGTAAATAATGCCCTGTGATGAATTTGCATCCCATCCAGTTTGTACTGTATCTCGCCTTGCAGCAGTTGCAGGGA